TATTTAAAAGGTAGTCGGTATTTAGGACATGAACTGTCCACTACATATTTACTATCTTTGTTTTTATTTCAAATACAACTGATTGCATAATTTCTTTAAAATAACTTTATATACCTCTTAGAGTTCGCTCCTTTATAATATATATACTAGAAGTTACAGTACTTTGTAGAAGTTTGTTCATAATGAATATCTTGTATCGTGGCGTCTTTTGAATAACGTCGATTGTTTAAAATTTTATATTTATATTTCTTTTGTACATCTCTTGTATAAAGTATTATTTGAGCAGAGTTTCCAGGCACAGTCATTGTATGCTTAAAAGGGGACTCCTCCCACTAGAAAGTAGACTAAAGTGTGTTAAGATAGTAAATTATTATTAATATTATTGTATCTATTTTAGACTCTCGCGTCTCCCAAGGCCTAAAAGATTAATTTTGAATTTTTAAATGGAAGAGACGGTATTATTATTATTACCAAATAATTTTATCATTGTATACATCCGTAAGAGCAGAAACGTTATTTAGTTTATTTGAAAATAAATTCGTCAAAAATTATCTGCTGTCTGCAGTAAACCTAATTTAAAAAAAAAAGAACTTTTTATAATTACAAACTTATTGTCGTTTGCTCGTGAGTTATAACAAAATAATTTATAAAATCGAACTTATAGTAGAGAGAAAGTTGTAATTTTTACAAATGCTAAATCTCTTATCAGTTTTAGAATCCGATGATCTGACATTGCCACTCCTTTTTATAATAAATTAACACATAAGTGAAATAAAAGATAATATATATATATAAGTAGTTACTTATCTTTTATTTCACTTATGTGTTAATCTATTATTCAAGGTATAAGAAACAACCAATCCATCTCTAGTCTTAATATGATTCGTATTTGCTTCCACAAATTCAATACCAATTTAGCTCAGTGCTTGTATGATTTATTCATCGATCTAGATCCATCTTAATCTATTTGAATAATAGAATAAATGAACTAGCAATTGGTCCAATTGAATATTTGATGAGGAAAGTTAGCCTGTTATGATATTGCTTATATTGTTTTGTTTGTGTTACTTTATCTAGTTATAAGTACCATCTTCTCATGTCGTTCAAACAGTTTTGTTCATTTTCATGTCTACCTTAACAAGCTTGGTCAAAATTTAAATTATTCTCTGCATATATTTTTCTTTTTTTAACCGACTTTAAAAAAGGAGGAGGTTCTTAATTTGACTGTATTTTTTGTGTGTGTATATTACGCGAATACTCATAATTATAATATCATTTGTGAAGCGATTTTGACGATTCGTTTTTTATTGGAAAGAGGGTACCCCAGTATTGGTCCCATTTAAATTTGAAGGAAATATTCCACCTCTAAATGTGGCAAACTAGGGTATGGATCCTGTTTTCACTTTCCGGTAACCGATTTCAATAAAAGTTGGCAAATAAATGTAATTCCACGAACATTTCATCTCTTTTTTTTGTAAAAAATAAACAATTTTAAGTAATTTTCGAGTTCCTCCTAAAACTTTAATCGTTCGATCTCTTTATATACCAAATTTAAAATAATTTTTCCTTTATCGTAATTGATAAAATGGTTACTACCTATTATCAAATTCACTTTGTCTCAATTGAATGCCGATCGAAAACACTTAGTAGGATTTTCCCAAAGCGAGTTGGGGAAGTACGAATTCGTCCACATTCAGAGAAAGCTTGGAGTCCTATTAGCGTCCCCTGTTGGTGTCTCAATTATGTGCACTGAACGTCTGCAAATACTTTTGTTCTCTGTCTTGTTTGTTCTATACTTACACTATGGACTATACTTTTTACACTTGTACAAATAAATAAAGTTACTTTTGTATCGTGAAACACTAACGCCCTGTTCAGATGTCCTCATTAAATTAAAATTCCGTGCATGGTAAAGGTTCAAATCTAATTGGACAGTCTTTACTTTGTTTTAGTTCAAGAAAATAGCACAAAAGCAGTAAGTAAGCTTTCCGAAACTGTTCGCTTTGTGGAATCCGATGGTGTGATACTGCTTCATTTAAAAAAAATTGAGAGACGAAATATGATAATAGTAAGATAACTTTCTTGACATAGTCGTCGAGAAGGTCTGTCTTTTTTAATTAGCCAAAGCTTAAAAAATCCTACTCTACTTTGCCCTAAGGCGTAAAAGCAAGTCTTACTTTATTAAAAAAACACCCAAAAAGATATTTCAAGTCTGAGATACTGAAGGGAATTGGGACACATTAAAAAGATATTTGGCAGCAAAATGTAATTTTGCGGGCAAAACTTCCCCAAAATGCGCATCAATATCATGTTAAGAACGTAACGTTGTGTATACTTACGTACTACCTACTTGTCAGATTATACATTTTGGTACTTACACCGACTCTTATTAAATGTATTTAAATCGTGGAAGTTTAAATTATGTGAGTCTTCATTGATGTTTTTTAATTTATTTTTTTATTGACCGGCGACTCAAAAATAGGGGAGATATGAGTTTGATGCCTTTGTCTGTATCTAGCAAGTTTTCAAACGCTGTTTTGATGGGGATGGTTCTTGGCTACGTTTGAAAATTATCTACTCAGCTGTTTAAAGATAATTTTTTATTTTCACAGTTTAGGTAATGATCTCAACTATGCAATGTACCGGGGAATTTTTACATTATAATTTTTAATTAATATCTATTTTTATGTGAGTGACATTTTTCACTAGTCGCAAATAGTGTAGCCCATCTTTAAAAATATAACAATGATAATAGTTAGTCTATATGGTCCCACTACTGGGCACAGGCATCTTCTCACAATAAGAGTTCACACATACAAATTGTTTTGCAGCTGTGTGCAGTAGGGCTAGCACGACAAGACGCGACATGCGCGAGAACGACATAAAGCGTGAAGAAAAAAGAGCAAAGCGCAAGATATTGCTATTCTTTTTGCGACAATAATAGTATCTCCGGCACGTCGTCGTGTTAGCCGAACAGGTTTTTTCACAGTGTTTTCCTTCGCCGAAAAACTCATTGTAAATTGGAAATAATATTTCGCATATAATTCCGAAAAATACAGAGGTGCAAGCTCAGATTCGAACCCACCCGGATTCAAGGCAGAAGGTGAACGGTTGATTAAATAAATTAGGATATTTATATAATCTGGCAAAACTCAATATTTTTAAGGGTGATGGTGAAATTACAGTCACGTGGGATTTGTCAACTTAAGTCTCAAGGTGACGGGCGCAGAGGCAGTTCCCCTCGAATTTTTGCAAGCTTAAACTCTGAGTGGCACTGCAACTGTTATGGAAAGGCGTATCGCTTGCCACCAGGCGCACGACTTGTTCGTCCCATCACTTGGTATCATAAAAAAAAACACTAGTGACGGGTTCACTAAGGTTTAATACCTTTATACTTCTTAAACAACCTTTGTACTGCCACGGGTACTTACACTTTGTCATAAAAAAATGTTTAGGCGATTGTCTAACAATTTTTTTGATTGTACTGAATTTGGTCCGTTTCTATACATTTATGCTTCTGCAGAGATTTCTTGTACAAAATAAGAAACACTAATATGTTGAGTGTTACACATTTACAGCTCATAATAGCTTCATAAGAAGTTTTATGATACGTAACTAATTGGTGTTTCAGTTGGTACCACCATACTATAGCTTGCGAATAAATTATGAGGGAGTAATGCGTACAACTGTTTCTCTAAGACGAACATATACTAACGTACGCACGCGTGTCTAAGTATGCCATTACTTCAACAAAATGGACCATTTGTTTCACGTTGCCAGGCATTGGGGAAAATGAAAAAAACCCCTGACCGCCTGAAAATGGGCCTGGTAAAAAACATTGCGAATATTTACGTTTTCCGGGCTCGCATCGAAATGTTCTTGCATCGAACGTTTTGAGAATAAACTTCGCCTTAGTATGTTCATAAAAAACAAAAGTTTGTTTCGCTTTTTTTATTAAGTACAAGCCGAGGAAGGTACCTTCAGACTTTGCACTTGCTCTGTCACTTTCTTTCCGAATTACAATTCACGTCGGATGAGAGGGATAAAGCAAATACAAAATTTTAAAGTTAAGAAACCGCCTGTCCGTGAACAACAGATACTCACTAATTTCCTTAAAATACATTTTAATTTCGACTTGTCAAACTTTTCGTGAAAAGCGAACCTATAACAAAACAAAAAAGTGAGTTTTCTTTTTTTAATAGCATTGTATCAAAATTTAAAAAGAAACAGAAGCCGTTAGTGTAGTTGGGCAAACAAAACAAAAGAAGCATTAAAGCGAACAATGATTCTACGGCAAAGTGAACACTTGTCTTGTAATGCGCTGTCAGGGCAGACAAAAGGGATTTTTTAAAAAGATTGTAAAAATATGGCCGCTCCCATTGTACGCTTTCAGGTCTTTTTCTTTCTCATTTCCTTATTTTCTTGCTGAAAGGATTAATACACGTGGCGTGCGTTATTTATTGCTACTAGCTTTGTGCTATTTTTTGAAAACATTTTACTTATATTTTATAGAAAATATAGAGCATATTTGCACAGACGCTATCTCTGTTTGTCCTTCTCTCATTGGTTAGGATCGTCTACGATAAAACTATCTTTTTTAATCTATACGTTCTCAGCGGTATGTGAAGCGTTTTTGCTTTTTTTGGTGATGGTCCCTTATTCCTGTTAAAAGGTTACCACACTGGATTGACACGCAGAGGTCCCGGGTTTGATTCCAGGGCCGGGAGAAGTATTTGAATGGCCTACATTTATTTCTCTCGTGAGTTTGGGTGTAATTTGTGGTTGTCTATGTGTGTATACATGGTACCTGCAATAAAGGGTTACCCTAGTACGGGGCTATAAAAAATGTACATACACAATAAGACTACCTATTACAGTGGGCATCATGACTCTTTATTCATGTGTTCTTACCACTTTTATTGGAATTCTATAAAATATTCGTGTTCATTATAATAATGTACGTATTATAGATAAAAATGAATGTATCTTTTTGTCCACAGCGTGCAACAGAACATACTTTGGTGACGTGGGACGTACTTACGAACTGGAAGTAAGGAGACCCAGAGAGGATCATTTGCCCTTTGTCTGCCATCTTAACTTCACTGCTAATGGGGGAAACTACGGGGATATTATACAGGTACGATCTTGGTTATTTCATTTGCATTCTCCAGTCTCTTTAATTATTCATATTTATAAGTACGCGATTGTGGGTATTTTTAACTTCCTATTCAATTAGGACGTTGTTCATCTAATTGAGTTAGTTACGACGATCTCGATGACCTGACGGCTTATATTGTGGGCGCTCGATGCGAAGGATCAGGCAATTGATGTGTTTTTAGTGCAAAAAAAAACATTTTCTTCTTTTTATGTTCTTTGCTATCATCGTGGTGAACCAACTGATATAATTTTCTTATAAAAGTCATATTTAAATGTGGATAAGCACCCCTCAAGTTACGTAAAAATGTTTATTGCTCCGTTAGATATAGAAATAATCTTAGTACAGAGTACTAAAAAACCGACCTCAATAGTCATTTATCCCCTAACTTAGACGTGGAATATTTTCTTCAAATATAAATGGGACTACTTTTGAGGTGCCCTCTTTCCAACAAAAAAGAATCATCAAAATCGGTTCATAAATGACCGGAGTTATCGCGTAACATACATACAAAAAAACATGCAGTCGAATTGAGAACCTCCTTTTTTGAAATCGGTTAAAAATATAACCCACTTCCTCTCGAATTCTTGTAGCTCTGTCTTACAATATTACTCGAATATTACAATATTAGTAGCTGCAATAAACTGACGTAACTCAGTAGTGAATAGGCATTTTTAGGCAAACGCGTTCCATCGTCAGTTGCATCGTCGTTTAACATCAGGTGAGATTGTGGCCAAGCGTGTGTCCATTATACATATATTAAAAGAAACTCCACTTATGCCAGTCTTCCTTGAGAGGTGGTTTTATCCTATTCCGGCTCAATTTTTTTACATTTTCATAATGAAAAAATGAGCAGAAATATATAAAGGCGGGACTCCGTCATATCTGGACAAGTCCGGATCGTAATCGCCTTGAGCGAAATACTAAATCATAATTTCCATTGCAGCTTACCTTCGACACTTTCACCGTCGGGAAGTTCGTGTCATTCACATCAGACGGCTGTCCCGACGGTCATATGACCATAGTAGAGAGAAGTCCTTCACCTCCCACCGGGCAATGGTGTGGCTCGGCGTGGGGTTACACGGTGTACTTCAGTGAATCAGACTCTATTAATATGACGTTAAGGTTGGATAGATTGAGCCAGCAGGTGAGTTTGTATTTGAAATATTACTAGCGGCATAGATAACCTTGCATGAATCCCAATTTCGACCGTAAGAGCTCTGCTGTGGTTCACGATTCAATGGTGGGGAGTGTCAACACAATTACAGATATAAGGGACTTAAAATGTTACATTCTATAGCCGGCAACACATTTGTGGTTAAGGTAGTTACCACATTTACTAACGCAGAGTTGTCTTGAGCCGGTCAGAAAAAGCTTGTCCATACAGTAAGAGCGAAAAATGTTTACAGGGTTTGCACACAACGTCCAATTCGTATTAGTTTCGAATACGAGTAATGACGGTTCGAAATGTCACGGGGATTATTTTATCTCTAGACGTACAAAACGCTTTTTCACTCGTATTACATTGGACACAAGGCTTTTTATGATCGGCTTAATACCATTTCGTGTCGTTAAGTGTGGTAACCCCCTAAAGGTACTTTCTTAGTGTCATAAATATAACTGTAGAGCTCTTTGTGAAAAAGTTCGTCTGGACAAGTATTGCCACCTTTCCTATTTCTGCCGCTAAGCAGTAATATGAGCATTACTACGTTCCGGTTTCGAAGGGTGCTGGTAAAATTAGAGGCACGTGGGACTAATCAATTTAAGTCTCAGGGTGACGGGCACTTTGGCAATGCCCCCAGATCTATTCGGTTTAAAAGCTCTGAATGGCACTACAACTGCTATGGACTTGTTTTGTCGCGTACCACCAATCGCACGACTTGTTCATCCCGCCACTTGGGATACACATTCAATAATATATAAGTAACGCATACTAAAACTAACATAAAATAAAATACTGTATAGGTACACTTATGACTATTTTATTAATCCTACAGATTTGTAAATTGGTTACCCGCAATTATACGGTACGTTCGTCAAAAGACCAACTTTCCAATATTTCAAACATCAAACATGAAACCTTAAAGTAAAACTACAATTACAAACTTACATATTCAAATAATAACCGTTAATTACACTAGTTTTACGTGAACAAACTGCTATTGAAGGACGATTCACATTGATGGATAATTCATGGGTTTATGGCATCTACGGTCACAGCAGTCGCGCAATTACTGTTACAACAGTGATAGTTGCCATAACAATATCGATTGTCTTTTGTTTTACAGTCAATTAAGTACACTGGTAACGATCGTTTTTGTAAAAGGAATCATTCGGTCCAGTCTTTTATTTGAAGTGATTTATTTAACAAACCAAGGGCCTTTTCAAGCATCGACTGAACTTTCGAAAAAGGGACGTTCTTAAAGAACGTTTTAAAAACCATGCAAAGGTGAAAGAAACTTCTTTCGTCTTAGGTCAAGTGACAATAAAAAAAAAGTGTGGTGTGGGCAAAGCCAGGACTAAAAAATAACCCTTATTCTGAGACTTTAATAAAAATGCACACAATTAAGGCACTTTATATAGTTGTTTATTTATCGAATATATAGCACATACATTTCAAATTTCAATTTTCAAGTGTCGTTAGTTGAATTCAAATTTAGAAGTAAACATTTGTAAGATTTTATTTGACCAAAGTTTCTAATCCACAGATTATAAACTCCGTAATTAAATCCTTTTAGTGTAAAATATATATCGAGTTCTTAGGTTTTCGCGATTGTTACATATAGGAAATGAAAGTATTTTTCCGGATTTAAATCGATCAGTCAACCGTGACCATGGGACCTGTAAATGTCGGTTTGTTTGAAAAAACAAATAAACGCGATTTAAATCCGGAAAAATAGTTTCATTTCCTGTGTAAAATACATTTTATGTACAAGCCTTTAGTATAAGCTACATAATGAATTAAGTCCTTTTAATGTGAGATATATCTTACGCTAAAATGACTTTATTTCAAAGTCAAAGTCAAAGCCAAAGATCATTTATTCCATACGTAAAATAAATTTACACTTGAAAACGTCACATTTAAGCTACTGCTCGTTCACTACGCTGACTTCCCTGAAAAGAATGAGCAAGAAACTCTAGGGATTGCTCTTTTCAAATAAACTTAAATGCTATGGAATACTCTTTGAATCAAATTTGTGTGAATTCTGGAGCCGTGTCGTCTTTCCATACATCTTTATCTAACACGTAGTCTTCAAGTTTTTTAATATGACTTTTCAATCAAAATATTTTTTATGTAGTTTTTAAAGTTAGGAAATGATAATCTTAATATATGCTCCGGAATCTTATTGTAAAAACGTATACAGTTACCCATAAAATAGTTGTTCACCTTGGTTAAACGAAATCGTGGTACCATGAGTTTGATAGCTTACTTACTTACTTAATTTACTTTACTTACTTTACTTACTTAGCTCTAAGGTTAATATTATGGATATCTTCTTTCTTATTGAAATTATGTATATTTTTACGGGCATATAAAATATTTGAGTAAATGTACTGTGATACCACAGTCATGAAAACAGTCTCCTTAAACTTTTCACTGAGAGAAACCCGAGAGCCTAGACGGTATATGCAGCATGACGCAGCAGACGGCAGATGAGAATCCCGTAGGAAATTATACTATGGAAGTAACTAAAGTAAACTAGTCTAGCAGTACTAACATCGGTAAGCTCACGTATTCTGCGGACTGCATATGCAGCGGAGCTTAATTTGCTGGCCAGGGAAGAGAAAACCATTGAAGTTTACTATCTAAGGTTACTCCCAAGAAGACTGCTTTATTAACAAGGTGTAATTTTTCTCCGTTTATTTCTATGCTCGGACTAGTCGATTTTACGTTAGGTAATTCAAATTTAACACATTTTGTCTTCTTGGCATTAAGCAATAAATTGTTAGCATTAAACCAATAAACTACCTTAGAGAGGGTATCATTAATATGGTCATAGTTAATGTCATGTCTGTCTGTTTTAAAAATCAAGGATGCAACAATATTATTTCGCAATGGTCCTTGACAAAGTATGGCAGATCATTAATATAAATCAGCAATAAGAAAGGTCCAAGTATTGAGCCCTGCGGAACACCCATTTTTACCGGAGAACTCAAAGAAGTCACTCAATTTATGTCTACTTTCATTTCAAAGACGCCAGAATTTTAGAATCACAATTTCATACCTTAAACCCTTATGAGCTTAAAAGCTTATACGGTGAACAACCGTACATTTTAACGCATCTAATCTAATTGCGAGAAACAAAATGTTTGTTAAACAAACCCCTGATTCTTGTTAGCATCACGCTGACACGTTAATTTACAGTTTTTGTACATAACAAAGTTAATCCGTGTAAATGAACAACCATATTTATCTTCATTAAGATACTCTTACCAAGCATCCCTTTGTGTTTCACTGACGTCACGTAACTTGACTACATGTTTGCGCCTGTGACTTAGCTAATATTTCACATCGTCCCCGCTTTTAACGGCTCGCCGACTTTCCTTTATCTGGTGTTAGCAGACATATTACGTACACCAAGGGTTGAAGTTTCAATCAATTAATTAGTCGACGATTAGGGATGCCCGCGCCCTCGGGTGCCGCAGGATGAGGTCTTACCTTGCAATTATCGTAATTAATGTTATTATATCGTTACGGAAATTTTATTCAGCGCCATTGTCGTCTTAGATAGGAAATTTTGCGATTAATTATTAGGATTTAACCGGCTATAAGTTGTTTTATTGGACATTACGTATATTATTCGCTGTTATATCGAGGATATTAATCAAAACTTGAAATACATAACTAATTCAAAATATATACACTTTTGCACAAATCACAATTTAAACAGCCGTGGTAGTCTAATGGTTTGATCTGCCGCCTTTCAGGCAGAGGTCGTAGGTTCGAATCCGGACTCTCACATAGTTTCGGAATTTATATGCGAAATTAAATTTGAAATTTACTATGAACTTTTTGGTGAAGGGAATCATCGAGGGTTTCTGCATGTCGAAGAAGCTTCACAACCCTCTGAAAACGTGGGAAGTCCCGATCCCATATTGGGCGAGCGTGGCTTACTGTGGCCTAAGCAAAAGTGGACGTATAAATAGGTTGATGATAATTATACACTTTTGAATTTTCGCGTTGCGTTATATTAACATTTCGAAATGGAAACAAACGCGATTAAATAATTGAAATGGTACATTTTAAAGTTTTTATTGAATGCCATGATGTTTGACCACCATGATATTTGTGAAATCACTCCACTAGTTTACCGTCTCAGACGCTACGCCAAGTAAGCCACGGAACGAACTAGCAGACCTTACGAATTTTTCTATGTGCTTATTGCAGATCTTTGTTTACGGTTTTTAATGACTGTTTTTGCCGTAGCGCTATCTGTGAGATATACCTATACCTATACCCTTAGAGCATATAGGACCCTATACCTATTAAATTGTTTAATCGCGTTTATCCCTGTTTTGAAATGTTTAAAAACACTTTTACATTATAAACTTTCGTAATTTGATATTCGTCCAAATAATAATAATCATAAATAATAATAAAATTGTTTATTAAATAATTTATTGTACAAATGAATGACTAAGGACTAATTATGCGAATCAATATAAAATATATCACATATACCAGAACTAGGAGAATCCTGTATTTGATGTACAAAATACTAATTTTACGGGTGGATATAACATTATTAAATTTAAAAAAAGGAAAGAAAAAAGAATAATTAAACAATAAAATATAAATATTATATTTATATTATAGACGTTTCGGGTCCTTTACAGGTCTCATGGTCACGGTTGACGTCGTACGTCGGTTTGTTTGAAATATACGCGATTTCAAATCCGGTAAAATACATAGTTTCATTTCCTATGTGTAACAATCGCGAAAACCTAAGAACTCGATATAGACAACATTTATTTTGGAATTATTAATAAATTCTCTGTATCGTCATAGGACATATTTTGAAGGAATTCTTGGAGAATTCTTAACCTTTAGATAACAAAAATTATATATGCCAATTTGGCGTTTAATTTTTGTACGAAAATGGTCCAAGAAACACAAATCTAGAAATAAACACATGTTTTGATGATACAAAGGGGCAGACAATATCTTTCCGTCTTTTGTTAGTGTTTTCAGTACTATTTATATGGGAGTGCAACATACTGTTTGAGGACAGTGGACTTAATAAATATTTGTTTTACAGTTAGTACCTTACATGACTTATACAGAAGGTCAGTGGGGTAAAGGAAAGGGCGGTAAGTAGAAACCTTTAGAACTGATCGCTGGGATCTCTCAATGATTAGGTAATGAAGTTTAAGCAATACCACGCCATGATGTAATATGATGATAATATAGTAAACGTGTAGTTATAATTTTTCAGTATTAGTATTTCATAATTTTTCCAACCTTCAGAACCTTAAGAAAATTTTCTATCGTCTTAAAAAATTTAAGTTGGATCGATCTTTTTTTTGGTCTATTCCACTAAGTTCAACTATAAGTTCAATTAGTTGAACTAATCGGACACAAATATTCCAATAAGTTCAACTAGGTACAACTTTTCAAAAAATTGAACTTATTGGAGCAAATTCATCCTGTTAGTTCAACTTGTAATTATTTAAATCTTTGATCTTTTGGCCGAAAGTCGAAGTTATTTTATATAGTCTGAAGAGAACTGTCTAATCACTACAATTCGGTTTTGAATTGCACCTACTAAAATTTTATTAGAGGACAAGCTTCCTTTGTTTTGTTTGGAGGGTGACCACAGCACAGTCGTCAAGATAGAAATGTTCGTTGATTAATTACTATCAGTTCCTTACTAAACCAAACCTTATGTTATTTAAAACTGTAATTAAATTATTTATTACCTTACATAATTTTATATAATATATTATAGTGTCCGAATTTTCAATTGTCAAATAATCTTTATTTCATAGGTAAGCAAATTAGACTTGAAATAGTCGTATTGATTAAACTCTACTGCTTGTTCGTATTGCAGTTTCCCCTGAGACGATGAACAACAAACTCTAGGGATTGCTCTTTGTAAATATTCATTTGATTACATTTATCATTACAATATTTAATTTAAACATCTGAAGAGAGCTAAAGGGGTCACTACCACGAATTTTTGAGTTCCAAGTACTCAGAAGTTGTATAATAACCTTTTAATATAAAGTTTTGCTTCACAATAGTTTTAAGCCTCGTAAATGGCAAATTTTGAATGTCAATCGGAATCTTATTATAGAAGCATATAAATTTCCCACTTAAATGAATTTGATACTTTATAAAGACGACTGTCAAGAACAGCTAGTTTATTTTTATTCCTCGTATTAATATTATGTCTGTCACTATTTTTCATGAAAAAATTAATATTTTTTTTAACATAAATGACATTCTCACAAATGTACTGTGACGTTAGTGTAGGAATGTTAATCTCTTTAAACTTACCTCTCAAAGACACTTTCGGGCCCAGATAATAAAAAATTTATGAACGTAGATTGACATTTAGTTACAATTATTAATACAAAGATCGAACGTAAAGAAAAATTCCTTCGATCTGACAGGATTCGAAATTGTGATCATGCTAGACCAGGACCGTGCTCTGTCAACAGAGCTACAGATCTTACAAAGTCCTCTATGTGTTTATTATAAATCTTAGTATTGTTTTTTCCTTGTGAAATATTTATTATTGTTACGTTACATTTTACAATGATTTTATCATTACAATTGACCCGAACTACTACCACCGCATTTAAGTTAGTGACTGACTATGAAATCCGTGTGTCATGCTACCCTTAGTTTAGTACCATGAAGTGTGAATATTTGCATTCTTTTTATAATACTAAGTGACGGGACGAACAAGTAGTGCACCTAGTAGTAAGCAACATACCTGTCCATAATAGTTTCAACCCACTCAGAGCTTTAAATCGCAAAGATTTGACAGACACTGCCACTGCGCCCGTCACCCTGGGACATAAGTTGACAACTCCCATGAGCCTGTAATTTCACCAGCATCCTTACCCTTCAAAACCGGAACACAGTAATGCTCACATTACTGCTTGGTGGCAGTACTTCCTAAGATGAACTCTTTCACAATTAGAGCTCTACAGCTACAAAACGTTGAATGTGCAAAATATATTTAGAATGGCCCTGAATGATACAGGCTTTGTTACATTTAAAATGTTTTGTTATATTTCACCGTAAACATGACGATTCATTTCAAGTTACGTGAGCTCTCATACCATAAGTCTCAATAGAATCATGTATCGACTCATCCGTAGAACAAAGATCTATGTGCAAGACTACTTGTTCTCAGGACATAGTACATTTCGTTCGTTCCTTCTTCGCTGTGGATGTCAGATCGACTGTTGTTCGATTTTATATTTCCGAAACGAAATAAGGTATATACATTCTCAAAACATCTTTACATAGGCCTTAGTTTGAATAACGAAATTATTCTCGTAACGTTATTTCTCTTTTCGCTATATAATCACATCGGACTCTGTTCTTCGGATGAGTCGTATGTTCCTTTAAATATTTTTGTGTGCCTAATGTTTGGTCGGACACAGTGAAACTACATTTATTTTGTTACACACTTCTGTACAACCTGTGTTTTCACAAATAAATTGAATATGAATTTCCCTGTTCAATATTAATAAAGCCATCCACAGATTGTGGAATTAATTGACTGCGTTTTTATATACAGGGTTATTTGTAAAAAACTAACAACCTCACAGGACTATATTACTAATATCAGAAACCACAACTTTTGTTCCCATAGCTTTTTACAAAACATAATACATTTACCAACAATGGACTTAATTTTTTTGTACTATCTGATCTTTTTAGATCTCTATTTGGTAGTAAATGTATTTACACTGCGCTTTCTTTTGTTACCGCACAGAGTTATCATCGTTTAGACAGACCTATTTAAATATTTTTATTTTTGTAAGAAAGTGAAATCTGATGAATTATTAAAGTCGTGGAATAACAGTTTTTGTTTATGATGTCAGTAATTATAGTCTTGCAAAATTGTAAGTACGTAAGTATGCAAACACATGATTGTACTACAAAACAAATTACAAATTTTATGAGGTGAACTTATCCCATAAATAGATTTCTTCCAGCTAGCCTTTGAAAAACTGAGAGGAAAATTGTGTTCTAGGGTGGCAATAAAAAAATTATGTTACGTAATCAATAAATACACATATAAATTGATTAGATATCAAATGTAAATTATAGAAACACTAATACTTTCGTATTTTACAAATAACTCTGTAGTATCGGTTATTATAATAGTCCATTAATCTGTAATAATAAACTGAATGCAATAACCCAAGTTAGTTGACAGCTCCGTTTGGTTTCAGGGTGTGGGATACAATTTCGACTTCAAGTTGGCTTACAAGTTTCTAAGACGGAGTGAAGCTCGGCTGCGGTATGGGAACGCCACTGTGGGGGCTTGGAGGGGGGACAGGGTGCCTGGGACGTACTGCGACCGCATCCTCAGCGACTGCGATTTACGCGCTTGTCGCATTCAGTCGCCGAACTTTCCTGGTGTCTATCCTCGAAACGCGACGTGTACTTACCGCATTGAACATACTAAGGTAAGATTCTGCTTTGTAATTGTATCAGCTACAAGTTACAAGTCTTAGTCTCACAATCTTAGTTTGTATACAAACTAAGATAGCAATAATATCAGATAAAATAAAATGTACTTTTTTAATTAATGAGATCATATGATTAAAAATTTGATTAGAGTTTTTAGAAGTTATGAAACTAATGAATTTGAAATAGATCACTAGCATCGTCATTTACAATAATAATTATATCCTATTAATTCACTAATTTCTTAAAACCCAACAAACTACAATATACACTAAAATGTACAAAATATAATTAATTGCTTCAGGTCCGGGGAAGTAGGCCCTTCGGTTTGGAATGAAAAAAAAACGTATTTTAGATACTCTATGGTGATATAGAATATGTAACACCAAATTAGAATGCGATATCACAATTGAGCTAAACACTCGTAACCATAGGAATAATATTGTCTGGGTCTGAACCACTTCACATAGTACGTGCATTTTGGAGGTTAAAATATCTTGTACAATTAATAATGCACTTAGTATGTGTCTCACTATAGAAACCGATTATTAATCTACAATAAAATCTAAAGCACAAACTGCAACCAAAAACTGAATATTGTTAATAAAGTGAAGCGATATTTCATGACTGGACTCTTACTCTGTACGAACCACAAATCCGATCTTGCATGGAGTATTGCAGTCACCTGTGTGATGGCTCAACGAAATATCAACTTTATGCTCTTGATTCTTGCAGAGCCAGGAGACTTATTGGCGACGATAAACTCGAATCTAAACTTCATGGATCAGCCCACCAGCTCAAAATTGCCTAACTGTCAGTTTTCTACAGAATATATTTCAGCGAGTGTGAGAGCCCATGAGTTCCATCTGTTTATCCCGCCCGCCCTCTTTTACCATCGGATATCCAAACATATGGCGGGATTATCATCCTTACTTGGTTGATATTACCTTCAAACATACTAGGCGTTTATCATCATCTTTTGTTATGCTTACAGCCCAGGTATTAATTATATTAATTAGAATTCCCTGCCTACGGCTGCCTTTCCGATCATATACAACCTAAGCATCTAAAAAGTGCGACTAAATAGGCATCTTTTGGACGAGCTAGTTCCGTCGTAGATCCTATTTTTGCTCCAGGTCTAGGTAGTGGTCAAGAGCAAGTCCATTCACTTAAAAACATATTTTACTAAACAAGCTCTCAAATTTTGAAGTGTTCTTCCACAGAAGAATTAATATTGAAGGTTTCGAGTAATTTAATTATTGTTAAACTGAGGTAACTTGAAGGAGAAGCACCTACCTTGTACTAAGTTTTGTAATTTAATTACGAATACCTGAAATTGGAGACCACTTGCAATGACTTTCGAAGTACTGAGTCTACTAATAGCTTCCACGTTTGCCCTAAAACTACTGATAAAATGAGTTTTAAGTATCACTTTGACAACTGCATGTTACAAACGTTAATGACTACAAGTACGTCTTCAGACTTAAAATATATCGTACCTTTGGTACAATGAAACCACATGTTTTCTTACACTAAAAGTATTTTTATCACATGAAAATTATGAAATAATACAAAGTGCATAAAACTAATTATGTATATATGATTTGTTTATCAGCTCTAGGTCACCATTACGTTTCACTTTTATTCAATTACTGGATTCATCCCCTAATTTGCCAACCTTAAAGGTGGAATATCTTCTTCAATTTTGAATGGAACAACTTCTGAGGTACCCTCTTTCCAACAAAAAAAAAAAGAATCATCGAAACCGGCTGTAATCGTGACAAAGTAATCGCGTAACATATACGTTGAGAGCATCACTTGAAGAAAATTCTGTTCTATTTATGTAATAAGATATGTAGTCATAATATATAAATATGCGAAGGTCTGCTATAGTATACTGTTTGATGTACCCTTTTTGTTACATTTTATCCATTTAGCTCGTCTGTTGACTATTTTAGTACCACTATGGATCCCTCTATGGTATTCGCACCTAACTTCACGCACTACTATTTAGTTGTTGTATTGACTACTTTAGTACCATTTTGGACCGCCCAATGATATTCACGCCTAACTTTGTGAAGTTAGTACTACCACCTCAACGGAAGTTATAAAAGAGCCGCGATATGGGCGGAGCAGTTTGGTCTTGATCCAGCTGTATACTAGTGAAGTAACCTTTAGAGAATACTTGTGAATTTGTCAGTTTGAATACGTCATCAAATAAAGTGAAGTGACATTGAGATCTGATTTTATTTACACGGCCACATTTTTAAAACGATAAATTTCTAGTATTTAAATTTCAGGTTAACCTATGTAGGTATCTGGTTAATTTTTAAATTAAAATTCATACCGTACTGCGTTTGTTAAGTGTATAATTTTTTACAATGAGGAACAGTTTTGTCCCTTTTTGTTATTCCTGGTTAAGGGTCAAAGCTTAGGGCTTGTTTGTTTGTTTACACAGTCTGTGGACATTTTGATGCAGAATTATCTTTTCAACTTAGTTTGGTTCTCAGGACCTTAGAGGAGGGACTATCTCCGTTTTGTAAATTGTATTTAGTTTGTTCAGAAAAGTGACTTGATTTTTGTTTAGGTTCTTGAATTATTACTTTCTAAGAAATTTACGAATTATTTACTTATTGACGAGATATTTATTTATTTCAAAACAGGTACAAAGAAAACTTAAATCGAGACTGCCAAATGTGAATAAAAAACCTGTTTTGGTTTAGGAGCCGCGTAAACGTGTATCTTGTGTTGAATACAAGCAACCGGCAAGCAAATATTCTATTTTCATTCTAATTGCTGTTACGGCAACCGGCGACTCATCAGTGTCCGACTGCCGCAACCGGCGTCGAACACCGACGACGCCGCCTATGTCCGTGTCGATTTCATATCAATTGTATATAAGCTAGACATCCTCTGATCCCTACAGCCGCGTAAGTGTTTGGAAACTGGAGAGACGCTTCGGTGTCGGTAGGTGAGCATACCTACAGCTCCATCACCAAAGAGGAGATTTGGTACTGGACTTTACAGTCAACGGCTTAGTGGTGGCAACCTAAAAACATAATAATATGATAAATAACGCGAAGTGGACGTGCCAACAGCCAGTACCTATCTGCCAGTGCAAACTGACTGACCTGGGGTCAGGGTCTGACTGAGAAGGTCGCTGCGTGGGCTTGCTTGCACTGATTATAGTACCCTTCTCGTATATTTCAATAGCAGTAGATCTCCTTGTGAAAGAGTTCGTCCAGAGAAGTACTGCCACCTGACCTATTTCTGCCGCCAAGTGTGATGTGAGCATTACTGCATTCCGGTTGTGAAGGGTAAGGGTGCTGGTGAAATTACAGGCACATAAGACTTTTCAACATGTCTCAGGGTGATGGGCGCACAAGCAGTGCACATCAGATCTTTGCGATTTAAAGCTCTAAGTGGCACTACAATTATGAACAGGCGTGTCGCTTACCATCAGGCGACGACTTAGCATCATAAAAAAATACCCAATGGCCAATGGTTAAGTAATCTGTGCCTAAGGGTCGGTAAGAAGGATCACTAGATTCAAAACTTATGTAAAAAAGAACGAGGATGCTTGAATCCAACACAAGACACGTTTGCGCGGCGCCTCATGGTACACGTCTTTGCATGCACCATCTAGTTAATAAATAAAATAAATCAGAAGATGTGGATAAAAATTAAATGATAATCGTGCTATTATAGTGATAAAATTTTAACAGTTTATAACACTTTTAAATAAAAGCTCGACATAACAATGTGATTTAAAAAATCATTATTCTCATCTGCTGTTGCTAACTTTTTAAAGCTCTGAGTGGCACTGCAACAGCGACAGGTACACTACTATTTTGTCCCGTCACTTTGTATCATAAAATTAATATTATTTTTGACGCATTTCGTGTATTTAATTTCGATATGAAGACGTTTTATAAATCGAGTTTAAATTCAACATTCACGCGTGTTTTGCCGAATGTTTGGTTTTGTGGTATTTCGGTTTGCTTCCATTTGATTGAACTTTGTCTGTTTCTTTCAGTTTATTTCACTAAACGTTCTTTTTTCAGATACCAGCAGATAAACACGTGCTTCTCGCCGTACGGCAGACGAACAGTCATAAAATACATATCAAAGACCAAATAGTCAAGTACGACAGAAGTCAACGTGTTTTGAAGTAAGTAAATTTTAATAGTATAGATTATTTTATCCTTCAGGACTTGTTCTGAGTACATTTCAGTATTTGATTTCGCTGCTTACCTTATTTTAGCCTCCTGCTGAAATTCTTCTTATCGTATACACTAAAATGCTTGTCATTGTGGTTAAAGGATATACCAATTGGCTTATGGCACTCGTCGATTATTGCCTAGGTTGCGCGTACAGATAAGAAATGTTACCCCTTTTGGTCATTTCGTTTTCTGTAATTGTAATAATAATTATTAATAATTGAAATTGCAATATATAATGCAATTTGTAGTAATTTTATGAAAAAATACAATTATAATGAATTAACATTATTATTTGAATGGGTTTTCGTACCGGAAGACGCAACGTGAGCAGACCACCCACAATGCAACCAAAGACCTGGTGATGGTTGCGGAAATCGACCACAGCTCTTGAGCTGTCATTGTGGCGATCTTTAGGGAAGGTCAATGTCCAGTATTAGATATCTTCCGGCTGAAATGATGATGATGATGATGAAGCAGAATGTTATCATTAATTTTGAATCCCGAAAATGTTACAAACGACATTCGTTGACGGTCATGATGTCAGTATAAAAACATTGCAAAATTACGAAGTACCAAATCGCATTTATCAAGCTATAAAATGTACGTACATTACTTACATTACAATACAAATACTCATTATTACATGAAGTACAAGCACATAAGAAACCGGAGAAGGAGAAAACCGGAGTACTATGGGCGGCCGAATAGGCCAACGTTGTATGCTTACATTTTTAAGCATTATTTGTTATAAGAACACCGTAGTAAAATACCAATAACTTACTTTGATAGCAATCTCCGTCTACATTGTGACGTTAATATATTTTATATTTGATATATTTTAATATTCTCTATATACAAATCATATATATTTTCCTTTTCCGTAACATACATATTATATTTCGTATTGCCGTTTGAACATTCTATAGAATATATAATTATAATCGACAATAAAAGTGATGGTATTGTAAATTTGTAATAATAAATAAAATATTTCGCTATTATACTTATTTGTAATTGCAAATCTCATCCGTGAACAATGATGTTTTAAATTTGTAGATAGTGCTGTGGTTTTTGTTTGATGCGTTTCAAACAATCTGATAGAATATAACCGTGCACCTTAAGCCTCAGACTATTAATGAAATAAAGGGATTTTATCACGACGGCAATAATTACTTAATTAGGCGATAATTGGCGTAACGTACTTGCCAATCGTGTCAAAGAATGCACCTGGCTTGCAAAGGATATTATGAATGCTGTTACCAGGTCCATTGAAAATCCGCGTAATAGTATTTTCAGTAAAACGACAGTGTGCTGAGTAGATGGCGGATTCCGTAATAGCACAGCGCATACTCTATTATTCTCATTTTGATAATTAAATAATTTTAGTGATGTACGGTTTACAACCGCACATTTTTCTTCCGCTTACCTTGCACTCTACTTTGTGCCCTACTGTCCGTGGCCTACTGTCCGTGGCTTACATACATTACATGGGCACATAAGTAGGCAAGTAATTTTAGTGTTAAACGAGCATTCACTTCATCTAGACATCTTGAGTGTTTAACGAACATTCAGATGTCTTAACGTAACAACAGCGTAAGAGATACACATCCTCAACGAGCCTTGTATCTTCTTACTTTATTAATAAACTTTATACTTTTATCATCTATCAATTTAAACAATTAGGCGTCAATACTATAGCGTAGTATTGGCCCCTACAAGTGAATTATTCGAATTATTTATTAATAAGTCTTGTATAGTGTGTTAAATCATAAAATATGTGTGTACTGTGCTGTAATTTATTAACGGAAGAAACAATTTTTCTTTCTTTTTTTTAGTAGTACGTCAATACTAGGAGGCTTCTTTCGTGTATGCCAAATTTTGGCCTTAATTGTATAATGCAAAAGTGACAGCTTCTTTTACCACATACTTTTTACGACTATGTATCCTGTCTACAAACTATATTAGTCAAAATACGAGACCATTCAACGAAGGGCAATATTGTTGACGGAGTTCTACGTTTTAGAATGTTTATATGTACTTTCATATTAGTTTACTACGTCTACTATATGAGATGCTTTCTGTTACACTACAAAAGTTTTGAAGTGCTTTTGTGTACCCGAAACGAATTTTAGAAATGTTTGTTTCTAAAAGGAATAAAAGAAAACCATTGTGATATAGTAAATGTTTTTTACATTGCTTTAAGAGCGAGTATCTTTTTTATTTCCCAAATGGGTGAACTTTTATTACAAAGTTTTTCTCTACATATGAAACGTTGAGTAGTACAGTGTAACGAGCGAATTTAAACGTATCGAATGTACATACAAAAAAATATAGTATATAGTCGTAGAACAAATTTTGTTAGTAAATTTTATACGTGCGCTAAGCCCTAGCTTCAAATTTCAACTATGTTGGCGAATATTATAGGGATTGTATAACAATGAATGCAAAATATGAGTTACATTCTATGGATATCTGTAGTAGTCTATGGTTAACGTGCTAATAAAAAAAAACTATTGAGTATAATAATAATAATAACGCACACACTCAACATAGCACCGCACTAGGGAAACTCTGTGTCACGGGTGCCATGGACACACATATAGGCAATCACAAATTACACCCAAACTCACAAGACAAATAAATGTAGGCCATACAAATATTTCTCCCTCGGACCTCTGCGTGGCACTCCGGCATGGTAACCGTTCGGCCACAGAGGCAGTTTACAATATCAATTGTTTGTAGCGGTAGAGTTTCTTGTGAAAGAGCTCGTAACTTGAGTATTATTATATTATATTGCGTTTTGGATTTAAAGATGGTAAAATACAGGTACATGGCCCTTTTCAATTTATATATCAGGGTGACGGGTGCAGTGGCAGTTAGATCTTTGCGATTTAAAGCTCTGAGTGGCATAGCAACGGTTATGGACAGGCGTGACGCGTACCACTAGGCGCAAGACTTATTCGTCCCCTTGATTTCAATTAAAAAAAAATCAAAACGAATCATTCATGTTTTCATAAATTTAGCATTAGCTGAATTTGTGACTTTATGGATTTCTATTGTCTTTTATTATTAAAATTACTTTTTTTTATACATGACAGGCAGATAACTCCATTCCATCTGATGTAAAACTGTACTTAAACTTCCTGGCTTTATTTTCAATAAAAACTGAAATAAAGGCACGAACAATAACAACAGCACACATACATTAATTAATTTTAATTTGAAAGAAAACGTGTGGCGATGTAGCCTCAATTTAGCCTTATTTTTGAGGGTAATAAAACCTTATTTTTCAGGATATGGGACCAATGTAACGTGGTGCAAGACTATCTAACCGTATGGGATGGACCTACACGAGACTCGCCTGTGTTAGTCCGATTGTGTGGTGGTGACGCTGTTCCTGATATTGTCAGTAGAGGGCCTAACATGCTGCTCGAGTTTCACACTTCACCGTACGACAACCCTTTCCATCCGGTGCCATTGAGCTATTTGCCTGGTTTTGAGTTGGAAGTTCAGGTGAGAAACATGTAATATTATTTGACGTAGATATGTTTTTAGTTATATTTATTTCGACTCTTTACGGGGAGCTTTTCTAAACTGGTCTGGTTGTTCTGGATAGGTGCAGGGAATTCTTTATTTTGAGACTAGTAAGGCTAGCATAACAAGGTGCTACTAGCACAAGAGCGACATAAAGCGCGATATACTTCTATTCTCGCACAGAGTTCTTGCGCTTTATATCCCTCTCGCGCAAGTCGTGCCTTATCGTAGTATAAAAGATTAACTTTTTTGTTCATACGTTGTGGTAGTATGAAAGATGATGTGGGGTGGTCACCGCAGGGCTAGCATGATAGAGCGCGAGAGCGACATTAAAGCGTGAGATATTGCTGTTATCTATGGAAGTATAGCAATATCTCGTGCTTTATGACGCTGTCACGCAAGTCGCGCTTTATCGTGCTTACCCTACAGGATAGAGACAAAAACACACACTCGAAGCCCTGCACAAGGGAAACCCTGTATCGTTGGTGCCATTGACACACACATAGACAACCACAAAATACATCCAAGCTCACGAGAGAAATGAATGTAGGCCTTACGTATTTCTCCCGGCCCGGAAATCCAATCCGATACCTTTGTGGGGCAGACCAGGATGGTAACTGTTTGGCTATAGAGGCTGAGAGTGGGATTCTTCTATGTTTCGGTCATGTAGAAAGAATGAATATTGGTAGATTAACTGCACAAATTTACAGAGCGATTGTGGATGGATGCGTGGGGACAGGTAGGCCTCGGCGTACATATCTCAATGAGATTGGGGATGTCCTTAAGTAAGTCCGGATTAAAAGTACTAAGAATAAACGGGCATATATGAAGATACTGATGGGATGTGGAGGTGAAAGGGAATTGTCAGGAGTCTACTCCGGTGGGAGGCATGAGTCATGATATAATAATAATAATAATTTATTCCTAAAAAGATTGTATCACAAAATTGAGATAAACGGTAATTAAATACTAGTTGTACAGAGTGATTTGTTCAAACTCTGATCATCCAAACTAGGCACATGCCTGTATCTTGGAAATCAATGTCCGGCCACATAAATTGAGCTATTGGAGTAAAAATTACATTGACAGATATTTTGGGCATTGGTACTAAAAAGAGGCAAGGTTTGAAATATTACAAACGAGATTAAATTAAGATATACATATATGTATGATAAGGCAAAAGGATTTTGTTTTCATCATTGAGGTACCGCAATAAATAGTTTCAAGTGCGCTTCTGTGAGAAACGAACTAACGCTACCAGTTAGACAAACAGAAATAAATTCTAGATTCCACATGTGAATTTATAGCACAAATAAATTCTTGCAATCTTAATCCGCTAGAAAGCATGTAATCTAATATACAGAACCCGACTCGCTATTCTTTCCGCATGGCACGTTACAGATTAAGACGTTTTCTTTGATATTAGCAGTAAATATTTCGCTTGGCAGGTGCTGTACGTGGACAAAGAATCTCACTCGTACGTGCGCTCCGACGGACGTTGCCGCTTTGTGCTGCGCTCCTCAGACAAAACGAGCGGTGTGCTCAGAAATCCTAGGCACTCTCTACCCCCAAATACCTCGTGTGTATACTACTTTCAGGTAAGAATGCAGTAAGGTCTTTTGCAAGCTAAAATATGAGAGAAATGCTTATTTCTGAAACTACTAGAGAACCGATAACTGTTTTGAAGCACTTCGTGCTTTTGGTATAATAAAGCCACATGTGATAATACATGAGACTTGAAAATAATACGAATCTTTATGTTCAATTTCGCCTTCTAACGTAATTAATAACAATCATATCAATATAATAACAATCAATAATAACGTAAGTAATAATAATAATCGTAACTCATAATTTTTGTTTTTCCTTATTTAATATAAACTAAAAACTTTTTTTTCTAGGCCCTGCCATTTTTTTTTGTGTTTTCATTATATGCTGCGGCACAAACAGGTAGTTCATTTAGAATTTAATGTGTTTTTGTCTTCTTTATTACTAAGATTGATTGTATCTACCAGTTGACATTTTTGCAAATGTGGTCTTATTACACCAAAGGCGCGTCTTTTATAAATCCGTTTGTTTTATTATATATTCTACGCTATTATTTTAATATCTAATATAAATAATAAAAATATGTAACAAAAAATCACGATAATTAATAGAATGAGAATGATAGAGTGTTATGCTGCTGGCAGAGAATGCTTTGTGGCATTATTTACACCATTTGTTCTGTGTTGTATTGTTTTCACTATTTACAAAGTGGAAATAAATAAATAAATCTTATTGTATCCAAGACTGTGTTATTTAAAAACAACATTTTAGTTTACAACAATAATACTTTCGACTTTGTAAAAACGATACCGTAGGTATTTGCACGTAATTAAACCTTAACTGCTTTATATTTCTTCAACTGGACTATCTAATTACCAGTATCAAGCAATTATCAAGTAACGAAAAGATTTCTAAGCGGTTAAAACAAAACCGGAACAAACAACCCCGGAGCAAGCACGCGAATTGCATTTCAGCCTAAATTAATAAGTAGCTGTCGTTTCAAACTTGAAACGCGATGGCGTGTGATAACGACCTTTTAGTTCTATTAAAAATGATTTATGGTTTCTCAGGGCCGTCCCAACGAAATAGTATGGGTGTCATTCGTGAAGTACCACTCAGCAGGGACGGAGCCAGCTGGTTTCGATCAACAGAAGGACTGCTCCTCCCAGCTCACCATATGGGACGGCGCGGCACCCGATGCCGACCTCGACAAAAAGGTATATTTTACTACCAATAAAACGTTTAACCGATAGTCTTGTGTTTGCGGAAATTTGTACCAAACCAATCAGCAAAATGGTGACTTAGGAATGGAAAACTGTTTGAGAACAAAAAACACCTTTCGAAGTAAAGAAAATAATGCTAAAAAATTATGTCTTCCATAAAATTTTAAAATGCCTTGTTGCATTTAAAAGGTGCTTTTTCAACTAAAATAAGATAGGAAGCAGCACAAACCATAATGTTGTTCAGATTCTCTATATTACCGTTGTTTGCCTCGGAACAGCACAGTTTTATGACAGAAATTGCAAGTAAAACTTTAGCACAGAAATTTAAATGGCAAAAAGTTCCGCGTGAACCGAGTAGAGTAATGAATTGTGGATTAACTTAAGCGTAGTATGTAAAACTTTCGCAGTGCGGGAAACTAATGTGATAATACAAATACAGAAGCGATATAAAATTGGGTGGCGTTTTCGCCTATATTCTGTACCATTTCACTTTGCCAACGTCTACCTCTGCTATTCTATACTGGCAACTACCGTTGCCTCCTACCTACCTCCCTCTTGACGGCGGGAGCCAAACATTAATTTTCTTTAATGTGTCTGAGCACTCTTACTGACTTCTATCCAACTGCAGTGCGGTGTTTCGTTTCATTCATTCGGCATTCCTCCGCTTGCATTAAGAATGGATAAGCGTTTTCAACTTGTTATTTTTTGCTGGCACTTTAATAAGAAAAGTTCTTGGGAATGTTCTTTTTAAATAGTCCGCTTGTAAATTGGCTTTGTATTTTAGCAATACACGTCATCCGTTTTTAGTCAATTAAGCATATATACAATGTGTTAGTTTTAATTGGGACAGTATGGGGAAATTCCAAACTAAAGGAGGTACAGGAAAACTGTCTTAGGAACCATTAAGTCTTTTTTTTTTGTGAAAACGATTTTGAATGAAGAAAAAATTATTAAATTTATCCAACTTCTATCCCGCCCGCCCGATTTTTTTCTTCCAATACAATGAATAGATTTTTACATGAAACTGAGTCGATCTGCACTAAAAAAATAATGGTTTTAATTCATATTTATGGACAACTCACGCTTGACAAAATTGACTATGCCAAACTTGCGTTAACAAAAAATAAATAAAATAAATGAGTTAAAAAGACACATTGAATGCATATTTAAACAGTGTTTTTTTTTTGTTTTCAATGGGACAATATGGGGAATTCCGAAACCATACAAGGTATAAGGAAACTGTCTTAGGAACCATTGTTTTTTTTTTGTGTAAACAATTTTGGCACAGTCAGTTTTTTGGTCAAGCGTGAGTTATCAATAAAAGTGAATAAATTTATCAACATTTTTTTGTGTTGATCGACTAACTTTTTTGAAGGGATTATTTCATTGTATGGAAAGAAAAAAATCGAGACTGCAGAAGTTGGTAAAATTTCATAAACTATTTTTTCATACAAAATGAATATTTCAATTTTAGCCTCGCCCATCCTCGTCAATCCAGACCATTTCCACCGAAGATGCGCCAGGAGAGAATTGATATTGTCCTCGTCTCCCCTCGCCCCGTCACGCCAGTGGAAATACACCTTTGCTTAGAAAGTGAACATCCGAGGCTGGGCTATTCCTGTGAACTTGCCGCATGGCATTTAAAATTCGTTTGAACCTGATCTTTTGTACTTTCGAACTAATTACTGTGAAAAGTGTATAAACGAATTAATTGCAATCAACTAACGTTATTATTTCACCGCCGGCTGAAAGAACTGATAACGAATAGGCCAATTGTCAAATAATTCCCGTCGCGTTACGAGGTTGTTTCCCTCAACGACATAATATAAGCCGACTAAAGAGTGTTTTTGCAAAATCAGTCTAACTGACTTCTTTGTTTTCATTAATTTTAGGTACAAAACCACACTGACAGAATCCAATAAAGCTATTTTCACAAATGGTAACTTTACCAGAGGTTGTCAACAAGCTTGAAACGAAATTTGACTGTCTTAGTAAATCTACAATGTAAACGACTTTTAATATGTAGTTAAGAGCGGTTACACAACGCGACTTTTAGCAACGATGCACACGCGATGCAGTCGTTAGTCTACCTTTATCATAAGCGCGCGATTTTAAGCAGCGATGCAATCGCGCGTCTGCATCGATATAAACGCGCGACTGCATCGATATAAACGCGCGATTGCAACGCTACACTTGGGATTTATAGGCGATGCAATCGCGCGTTTAAATACTGCTAAATGTCGCCGTATCTACAGATAGAAACGTAAATTGAAAACTTACACCTTATATTCATAAATATAATGTTGATTTTTATTTGAATGGAATAGGCATTACATATTTTTGGTCAATATAATTGTAGAGATCACTTTGGCGCCGACTGTGCTTATAGATGTAGGTCCTAACCGAAAACCATGAAATGATGTGATATGGTGTAATGGCCTAGTGTCTGTTACTGGACGTCTAGGTGCCTCTTTCGCGTGTAACCGACGGCCACATGGCAAAATGTAAACGGCCTATTCAAACTAATTGGGGGAAACACTACCATTGTTTGCATTACTTGATATACATTGTAAAGCAATACCACCGTAAAAGCAAATACTAGTACCGGAATGTGCTTGAAACATTACGTTGTAATTTCCTCCGTTATAATGTTATTCTTGGAAATAACTCATATGATTATATTTACTCCTATTACCTACACTTCTTGTGCGGGTTTATGTCGTGGAACCATTTCCTGTCTTCTATAAGAGAGGCAGCGATTCAATCGTTTTTTTTATAATACTAAGTTATGGGACGAACAAGTGTGCCTGATGGTAAACGACACGCCTGTCATTAACAGGTGCAGTGCCACTCAGAGCTTTAAATCTCAAAGATCTGAGGTGCACTGCTTCTGCGCCCGTCAGCCTGAGACATGAGTTGAAAAGTATGGAACTTTTATACTCGATATAAAGTAAAATTTATTATAATAATATTCAAGAACTAAACAATGCATAAGACACAAATTACAAGAATCCTGGGATTGCCTGTCAAATAGCCAATGTAAACTTTTTCGTCAACTTATAACAACAACGAGTTTAGTAGCAGTAGAGTTCCTTGTTAAAGAGTTCGTCCAGGGAAGTTCTGCGTTACCTACTTCTACCTTACGTATTTCTGCCACCAAGCGAGCATGTGAGCATTACTACCTTCCGATTTTGAAGGGTAAAGGTGCTGGTGAAGTTACTGGCACATGGGACTTGTCAACTTATGTCTCAGGGTGACGGCGCAGTGGCAGTGCCCCTCAGATCTTTGCGATTTGAAGCTCTGAGTGGCACTGCAACTGTTATTGATAGGCGTATAGCTTATATAGAGCTCTTAGATTTTTGCAATTGTTACACATAGGATATAATACTATTCTTTCGAATCTATATCGCATATATTGGAGTTTGCAAAAAAACCAGCGTTACAGGCCCTTTGTATATCCCATGGTTACGTTGAATTTTGGTATATTTGGTAAATTCCTAATCGTGGTGGACTATGGAAGAATATCAGATAAGGCTATGTACTTGAACCATAGACTCAATTAATGTGTTCCATTTATTAATAAATTGTATTGACGATATAAATTGTAATAGTATATAGTAGTTGTATAAATTGTATGATTTGAATTCAACGGATTTATCCAACTTATTTTATAACGTTTTTGTTAGCGTAACGTTTATGGCAAAACCATCACTGTTGAGACGCTTCCTTTTTTGATTATGTCTAGCAGTGTACTTAAGGTTAACCAACTTTCGAGGCTCAGTAACCCGAATACCCCATACAATTGAGTTATAATTTCAAATTAACCCGAAACCTCATAACACAGCATTTCGACCATTAAACCTAACAACTTTTGTTGTGTGTTTTAGAAATTATGACGTTACAACATTTTTTCCTATGCAAACCTGACTTGTATGGAAAGTAAATAAATATGTAAACTCACAAAAGTCATACAACAAAATTTTATTTTTTCTAGTGACAAAATTGACGTGTTTAAGATATATTGGATTAATAACGCCTGACCCGTGATGTTTAGGGATTAATTTGAAATAACCGTGTTCAATATTTTTTCTAATTTCAATATTTCTTTCACAGTTGGATATGAGTGACAAAAAGTCACTTCTCGGTTCTTTCTGCCGTGAAGAATCGCCGAAACTGTGTGACCACGCACTTCTATCCAACGCAACAAGGGCCACAAGACCCTGCGCTCCGTCTGAGAGCTACATCACTAGTGGACCCGCGTTGACTATCTTACAGGTAACTATATTTTATTAGATACGTTATATTAAATACGTATTACCAAATTTGCTATTTAAAGATTTGTGTTGAAAGTTATTATCATACTGTAATAAGTTATACAATGTAGAATAAATTAAATTAATACGTAATTACTAGTAATGTAGTACGATATTTAATTCCAATTAAGTGATACTAAGAACAAGTTTTAAACACAAAATTTCCCATTTGTTACATTTCAAAATAAAATAAATAAAAAAAACATTTATTTATCCTCCAAAAACAAACTATATAATATAGGCGAACAATTTGAAAATAAAACAATAACAATAATAACGTACACACTCAATATAGCCATGGGCACACACATAGACAACCACAAATAAACTGTAATGTGGACAAAAGGACGAAAACTCAGCATTGCTGATTTTCAGTATTCACCTATATTTTCAGTATTCACCTATGCAATAAATGTTTATTCTATTCTATTCTATAGCTATTCACTTGCTGCACCAGGCGGAACTATATATAAAAGTTGTAAAAATTTATTTATTTAGTGTTGCCTAGTGTTTTACCAAGGACCAATTGCTACTCGATTCCCGCACAGACAAGAGCCATTTTATTACACGAATTACCTATTTACCTACTACTTTGTGATCGCACTATTCATAGAAACCAAACACAATCAGCAGTGTAGAATAGCCTTCCTAGTTCCCCGCTCAGTTACATGCTTTTTCTGCCCAGTGAAACATCGGTCGTCCAGAGAGATAAGTCACGTGCTCTCAGAACATTGCATTTGCCATAGTGAATAATGCAAAGAGTACGTGCGCTCAACTCCACTCCACGCCAGCCATGATGGAATGCTTTAGTGTCGCGTTAGGACTCGTTTACATTTAGTCAACCACCACGTTTCGGCTAGTGACCACAAATTTTTAATGTGGTCAGTTAACAATTGGCGGCCAATGTTTCTTCAATTTCTAAATTCTAAACAACGTATTAACATCCTATTTCATCATTCTTTCAATTTAATATTCACGAATACCTTTACTTACTTACTTTTTACATATAACAAGTAATAACTAAACTCAAAGTTAGTAAGTTGAAGTAAGTGTACAGATTTATTCAAATCTTTTAAATCGTATACCCGTCTGGCACTTAGAAAAGTTTTTACTAAAATAATCTAAGCTGTGGCTTTTTAAGTTTATGTAATTATACACTTTCGCGTTAAAAGTAAGTTTGTAGTCTTAGTTATTTATTTTCACTGTATTCAACCTCAGTTTAAAAAAGCATTGGCCGTATGTTTCGTTCGAGCCCTTTCTGTCGTTCACCGGATGAACAAGTGTAAGAGGGCCCTTATCGCGACCTGTATGGCTGGCACTCAATGTGACATAGCTATGAAAATTTAACACGGATTTATTAGCTTCGCGACCCAAATAGTGACAGAGTGACACAGATTCCATAAGCATTTTGAACAACCTGCTTTTTACACGAATTGGATAGTTAGGCTTACATTCAAACTTATGGATTATGTCTTGTTATGCTAAAGTTTATAACAAATCAGTTTAATTAAAATTGTTAGCAATTTTCCCAATACTTGTGGTGTAATAAATGTGTCGTAGAATTCTAAAAAATAACTAATAAAACGCTTTTCCCTGAACACTATTTTAAAAAAACAAAGTACGTAGGTAATACAAGTTTGATAACACATAATGATTTTAGAACAAACCCAAGAATTAAAACACACTGTAGTATAATTTTGTTCTTTTAATTTCAGTTACATCAGATGACTTGTTATTTCACGTTTTCAGTTTACGACAAGTCATTTTATTGCTATTTTAATATTTTCAGTTCTTTAACTATAAGCATAAATTACACATAATACATTTTGAAAATTTGCATAAAACATTATCAGTGGGAAGCTGCCAATTTCACCGAAAGGACTGTGCTAGTAACTTTATGATAATTATCGAGTTCTTAGGTTTTCGCGATTGTTACACATAGGAAATGAAACTATTTTTCCGAATTTTATTCAAACGTGACCATGGGACCTGTATAGGGCACAAAACATCGGTTTATATGAAAAAACAAATATATGTTATTTAAATCCAGAAAAATAGTTTAATTTCCTTTATGATAATTACTTTCATAATTATACTGATACTTACTTTAGAAAATATACTGGTAATTACTAACGTAATTATACTGACAAGTACTGACATGATTATACTGATAATAACTTTTAAGAAACTGTAACTACAGAATAATAAGTTTGTACTTTTTACTTTTGTTTGTGGTTATGATTTTTTACTGAAGGATGACGTAGCGTGATGAAGAAATATTGTGTATAACGATTATGTACTTCTTTTTTTTACAATTTGTTTTGAGTTGATGCGTCAAATTTTCAGAATTACTAGAGCTCTTTTCAGCGCTTCTATAGACGGTGATTTCATAAATAAACGAATGAACAATAAAGATAAAAAGTTTCAAAGTTTAAAACTGATGGTAACGTAAGGTTTAAGTGGTACGTTGTATCTATTAATAAATTTTGTATACGAGGACGAACAATAACTTGTTTATGCATAGGCATTTACAGAATCTTTATTAATAAACTTGGTTATAAAAAGTCTTTGAGACACGAGACTTTGCATTTAAAAAGTTAAGTACTGCTTAATTACTCAGGACGATATTTCATGGTCATATTTATCTTGAAATGTAATTAAATAGCAAATACTTTTGACAGCTTCTCAGATCCTATCAAACAGGAGACCAGTACACGACAGTGGATAGTACTGGTAAAGTAGGTACTTTGATAGCAATTAAAAGTGCACTGGGTCATTTCATATTTTACTATGGATATGGATATAATAAAGGATAATGATATAGGTTATAAATTTATTACTATGATCAATATTCTGAAAGCGTATCCCTAGTAAGCGTTCTTGTTAATAAAGGTAAACCTGGTATTCATCAAGTTGTTAAAGTCACAAGTTGAGTACTGCTTTATTATTAAATATTAAATTCAGCAGAGAACGAACTGAAGCAAGTTTCCTAACTAAATATTTCAAGTTTTACTACACCGCGCGGACTCGCTGTGTTCAAACGACCTTGGAAAGTTGAGAATTTCGCAGTATACCATATTATTTTGTTATAAGTATTTAACCTGACTAACAATGTTTTAACAAGTCATAGTCAAGATTTTGTTGAAATTTAAATGATTTACTCAAGATGTAGACTATAGGAATTTTTTAAACTAATATACGTACTTAAAAAAACAACTCTGTACATCTGTACAATACAAACGTGAACAAATTGAGATATTATTGTATGTTTTCTAAGTTATATTGACCCGATCTTATTCCAATATTTATGTAACCAGGACGGTCAAAATAAGATTTTTCTTTTCCCGCAGGAGTTGCGTCAAGGCTCAGCTCTATACCCCGTTTCGTTCGTTCTGCGCTATGAGTTTGTGGACGTGAGCGAGCAAGGACAACCACTCGCGGGCTCGCAATCAGCTTGTGATAGAGTTTTCAAGTCTGCTCAAACTTACTCTGGTAGATTCCAAGCACCTAGAGCAATATTTTACTACGGAAGAGGCGGTGCACAGAATCTAACGTGCATTCTGAGGTAAGGATTACAAGAAAATTCAATTAAGGCATTTCGTTTACCGAGATGCATTCAAACTAAAGTATGTTTTCCGTTTTCTGCAGATTCGAAGCGAAACAAGGCGAAAGGGTGCAACTGACGTTCACAAATAGCTATTTTGGGAACAAACATTGTAGTACACACAAAGACTCTCGAATGGGACGTTGGAAATGCGATAGGCTTGCGAAACGAACCACCGTTGGTGGCGAAGGCTTTGCTCAAATTATCATTACTGAGTATCCGTGGGAAGGGGTACCAATACAAAGAGACTGTCTTTGTACTAACAGATCCGAACCATTGAATATACACACTTTAACAGCTCCCGTTGTTGAAGTTAATTTTACGATAACAATGATGAATATAACAGAAGATTACGACGACTTTGCTTTTGAGGGTGAATATAAATTTATTCCAACCGGACCGGGTGACGAAAGTGTTTGCTCATCGGGGTGGGGCGATCGTAAACTAAGAGGTAGTAGTGGAGAAATTAGACTTTTTGATAAAAGGCATACACCAATATCACCGGAAATTGTTGGAGATAGGAATGTTATATCGGAAAGTGTCAGAGCAGAGGTTGCCTGTGTTCATAGACCATGGTTAATAGAGCCAGGAGGTGACGATGTAACACCAGTTCAAGGGCGATATTTATACATAAAAGTTCCTGGATATGAAGTAACCTCTTCGTCACCATTTTGCTCGACACCAAATAGACTGTTTATTTATGAAGCTCGAGACACTTCTAAACTTCGGGAAATCTGTCCAGAAGGATCAAACATTATAGAACTGTTCTCTCCTGGATGGAAATCTCCTCAAACCCCTATTGAGTCGTCCTTAAAACCAAATGCCAGAAGTTACGTGATTGATTTCTTGCAACATGAACAAGCAGATTATTCTATAAAATGGATAGAAATTATGAAGAAACCTATTTTTGAACACGATCCAGATGCAAACCTTCTACCAGCGTCGTTCAGCTTAGAATGTCATCAGAGGTATGTATATTTTATTACACAAACAAAACAAGTTAATTAAAGTTTATTTATATTTTCCGGAAAATAACGTATTTGTTCTTTTACTTAGCTGTCCTGAACTCAACGCCTGCATACCACTTGCATTGTGGTGCGATGGTAGCCCCCATTGCCCGTCGGGCTATGACGAAGACGACGCTAACTGTTCATTCAGGATATCATTGCCACCGCCATACGTCGCTGCAGCAGCTGGAGCTGGTCTTCTGATATGCGCTATCTCCGTAGCTTTGTGTGCTTGCCGAAGACATCGAAGAAAAGACAAAGAGTTTAAAGCGAGGTTAGATGGAGCATTGCCTCCAGAGGAAAGACCTTATGATCGTGCTAAAGCAAATGGAACCGCTGTGCCTGAAGCTGCTCAACAATACGCTACAGTGCAAAAGTACGCTACTATAGATAAGTACAGCTTAAGTCAAAAGTATAGTGCTGGATTGAATGACGCTAGGTACTACGATGAGGTTGCACAAAGGGATAAGCTTGCGGATACAAGGTACGCTAGTTTAGGTCGAGGCGGTCGAGGTTTACGAGTTGAAAATAATAGAGCGAACGGATCTCGGAGAGCTATGCCCGATCTAGGATATCCGGACCTCAAAGATGGCTTTTGTTGACCCTCTCCGGATCTTTTAGAAACGACCGTCTAGCAATTTGGGAATTTCGGAGACATTCCGGAAATAATCGTTATTATCTAATGATTTGTGTTTAATGTGAAATATTAGAGTGAAGACTGAATTTGGCAAAAGTGCCTCCCTAATATTTTTGGTTAGATCAAGTAGAAATTGTAAAAAAAATAAGCTGTTTTAACGACTGTGTTCAGCCAGAACGTTACAGATTTGCTCTCAATAGTAGTTGGCTTTTATATTATATACATACCTACACTTTGTTGAAAATATCGTCCTCCGCATTGTAGGTAATTTGTAAATAGAACAATACTAAAACTACAGTTACTGCTCAAGTTATATCAGAATCTGTTACAACTTCTTGGGTTAACATTGTCTCATCAAATAACATATCTAAAATGTATATAAAAGGCTTGACAATACGATTTTAAAATACAAATAAACATCATTATCGACATGTGTTGCTGGAACGACTTAATTGTACGGAATTTCGTCTGAATAACAATTTAATGTTGTATAAAACCGGAATACTTGGAAAGCCCTTATTCATATGGGTGCTTTTAAAACTTGGCAATACATCAAGTATTTATTATGGATAATCACAAATTTAATGCAATATAGATATAAAATGAAATGTGATATAGAATGTAAAAAAAGTATTTAAGCGTTCACTAACTGTATAACTCGTAACTTGATTAGGTAAAGTAATTTCATTTGTGTATAATATTGCAGTAAATGTAACTAATAATTATTGGTTGTACATAAATTATAGAATAAGATTTTTAAAGTCTGTAATTATTTCCGGGTAAAAGGAAAATTAAATTTCATTTCTAAAAATCACAGTGTTAATTTTATTCATTTAATTTAAGATTTCTTTCTTTAAAACTTACAGTTAAGAAACACATGAACTAACATAATGAGTTATGTTACTCAGGCTACATGCCTTTTCGAACACCTTTTTTTCGTTCGATATTAAACTATTCTATGAAATATTAATTATTCAGTACATGACTATAAAATATTGACACAAATATAAAAAGTATGTAGTTTCGCAAACCACATAAATTAAAACATGTGTTGGGAAAAAACAATAAAAAATTAATATGACATTATTAAATCATATAAAAGAAAGAATAACAAAATATAAAATGTGTAAATTTTATTAAAATCAGACTAATTTTTTTTTTATAAAACAGTTGTAACTTTCGCAGAAATTAAGTAATAATTCTCAGAATAAAAAAAATCTAAGGCATTTATAAACATTCTAAAGTTTTAAACAGTCGTTACAAACTTAGATCTTAAAGAAAAACAAAAATTCTTCGCGTAAATCTAGTCATAATGATACAAAATTACTGACTCCCCCGCTACCTTATAAAGTTGAGAATAAGAGCCAAAACAGAACTTGCTACTTTAGCTTTCCGCAATTAAACCTTCATACTGTGCGGCTTGGGCAATAAAACATAAAAAGAGACTAATGTGAAAAGAAAGTTCGTTCACGACACTGAAATATTTTTATTTAGTATACAAAAAATGAGGCCCATTTCCGCGAGGTCGCCATTCAGGGGTGGCAAACTTGGAACGCTTCTTGTCGTGTTTTTAAATTAAAGAATGAGCCGCCTGTTTGTTATTACCTCAGGTGTGAATAAGTATAAATAATTGTTCGAGCTTAACGAGACTGTTATGTGCACGTTGAAAAATATATAAAGCGAATTATGATTTATACGAATAAAAATTAAGAGATAAGTATGAAGAGGTAGAGATGAGAAATTTCCCTTTGAATATAGCAGGATAACAACACTGGATGTAATTGAACAGGTAAGTTATTATTTATCCATATTATATAAATTCAAGTTATCTATATACCTTAAATATTGTCAACATTTTTCTACATGTAGCGTTTTAATTTAGTTTTTATAAAGGTAATTATTCTGTAGTACTAAGTAAAATAGAGAAAATGACTGGTACTTTTTAGTTGTGAACTGGAAATATACTAAACGATAGATTTTGTTAAACCTAGAGTTTTATTAAAAGTTAAAACTCAAATTTGTTTGGCTCTACACTAATGAATAACAAGTAAATGTAATTTAACAAAATTTCTATCTATGGCTTTCTAGAACAGTGGCCTACCTCAAAATGGTCTAGTTAATCAGGACGATGGCTCAAAATGTTATAATGTGATTATTTTAACGAATGAAAAGATTTGAATGACAATTACAACAAAATTTAGCGTTACCTTTATAAATGTAAGTAATAAGTCAAGGGAAGTCCAGTATCCGTACGTCCAGGGAAGTATGGCAATACTTATTACCTTATCTATTTCTGTCGCCAAACAGTAATGTGTGCTGCGTTCCGGATTGGAAGGGTAAATGTGCTGGTGAAATTATAGATACATGGGATTTGTCAACTTACGTCACAGGATCACGGGCGCAGTGTCAGTGCCGCTCAGATTACGACGTGGCAATGCAACTGTTATGGACAGGCGTCTCGCTTTCCACCAGGCGCCCGACATGTTCGTCCCGTCACTTGGTATCATAAAAAGGTCAATTTAAAATTGAGTCATTGTTCTTGAATCGATATTCTCTATTTCGTATTAAGTAGTGTATAAAGTAGTTAGTGTCATGTTTAAAAGAGTGTAAATAACAGAACACAAAGCAGTTACTTAATCGCATCGTCACTAATTGTATTGTATTTGTCTCGTCGAATAAGTAGATTATAGGCTCAAGCTGCATTAGCCTGTACACTTCCTTGGCTAACGAGCGCTAGCAAACTCAGTTATCTGATGAACTAATTAAAGCGTCGGGTTGGACAACAAGCGAAAAGCTGACGTCATAATATTTGAAATTTGTGTTTCCGTTATTCTTCGTACCTTTTATTTAAATATAGTATATTATGCCATTTTTTAGTGCAGCACAATTCATATAAAAGAATGAGAACAACACTAAAGACGTTTATTACGTTCCTCAACTTACGCAAATGTCATGACTTCTAATGTATTCAAATGTTCGTTACAATGATGTTAGTAAAGCTCCACCTAACTGTCTTTCTTTGCTCTAATTTGGGAATGTCTACCATGTTTCTCAATTTTACGCTACCTCGAAGACCACTTTCTTCTTTTTTAAAGTGTTATAGCTTCATCGATACAATAGATGATTCCGCCAACGTCAAATTAAGGAAGACAAGCGTTTATTATTCAGAATTTGCCCACAACCACAGACAACACAAACATATACAGCCTACCCAGTCTATTACAGAAAGAAATTGTCAATCTTAAGAGACACATCTCAATCTTAAGAATTTATGTGTTCGACTATTCTATCAGCCTGAATGTATCAGGTGTGATTTTGTTAATAATTATAATTAGAAATTTATGATAAAATATTTTGATTTTGGAGAGCAAATCTGTCTACATAATCTTTCATCCCCAAATTTCACACTCTTTAGTTCACGTTGATTAAATAACAACAATTAAATATTTAATTATTTTCAACACAGAGTTTAACGAATAATTTATTTGATCCTAGTTTGCAAAATTACGACAGTCTCATACAAAATTTCAACTCTAATTAAGGGATTGAGTACAAATACATGTTTTTGTGTCTCTTATTATATATTTGGTAAAATACTTTCTTAAGAAGTGATTTTACCGTCGAGTAATCGACGTCATTAAAAGCAACCAATAGCGCATATTTCATATTTTAGCTTCAGCAATTTGAATCGTGCATTAATACTTCAGCGGTACCAACCACAAGTCCGGTCGTATATAGAGTACTGATGCCACATACGGGGTGGCTTTGTTAAATACCAACTGGCCACCATGGATTCAGTTGAAAAGTGTGCCAAGTTGCGTATAGATGACTCGGATTTAGTAGAGGCGAAGCTGCAGAGCCTTGAACATCGTCGTAAAGTTGTCTGTTTATCAGTATTCTATGTATATCACGAAGAGTGTGCGACGGAATTGCATGATTTAATTCCGCCTTCCCCTTTCCATCATTGGGGGACAAGACGTAGGCTGGGGTCCACCCTTATGTTGTGGATATTCCCAGGATTGGCACAAAGCGTTTTGCCTCGACATTTATATGGCGAGCGGCTTGGGAGTGGAATTCCCTGCCTGCGAACTTATTCCCCGAAAACTATAATTTGGAAGGCGACAGTCAATAGGCATTATTTAACTGTGCATGCTACATCGACGACCTCATCGTCACTTTCCATCAGGAGAGATAGAAGTCAAATGCGCACTTATTTTTGCATAAAATGCGTCTGTCAGGACTAATTGTCTCATGCATGTATATTAACATGTAAATGTTTATTTGTTGCTTATGACGGCATTGTCTGATATTATGTTTATAAACCTTTTAACCAAATTAAATTAAATGAAATACGAGATCAAAAATTGTCCGTGCACATCCAAAAAATGCCGCGCGCATTATGAGTTAGAACATTCGACAACACTATTATTATATGAGTAAACTAACACAATATCTATAACATTTGTTTGAGAACGTTTGCCTTAATTGCAGTATATGTAATTTGCATAAGATTAACACAGTGCATTGATGGCCGTACCTTGTCATTGGACTATGAGTAAACTTAATTAGGTACTGTAATGTACAAATACATAAGTATGTTGGGTGTAAAATGTTTTCATATGTGTATGTAGAAAATATTGAGTGTCACTGTAAGTCATCTACATACCGGGAAGTATCGAGTATTTAACCAGAAATCGAGACGCAATAAGGGCCATCCATCCCTGGAAACTCATCAGGCAAATGGGCCTTATATCACTTTTAAATATCAACTTTTTTTGATTTGCACTGAAATCACAAATTAGAAAGCTGAAATAGTACAGCGCCAAGAACTGATCTGTGTATATTCCTCCGTATATTCCAAAAATATTCCGTATTTATTGCAATAAAGAAAATACAACTATGGGGGGCTGTTCCGTTCGGTGGTGTGGGAAAAACAGCAAAACATATAATTACAAATCGAACGGAATCACATTTCATCGGTAATTAAATATTAAATATGTAATTTTTCAATTTACGTCCATTATAGCAAAGCTCAAGTTAAACTAGTCGTTTTGAAATGAAACAATTGACGACACCCGTCAATTGCTTCGAATTCGGGTTGGCCAATCGGAGCGCAGTAGTCACCGTAATGATATGGCAGAATAGTTTTCAAACAAATTAAATGACATTTCGTCTCTATTTCTGGTTATACGCGATGCCTGGAAGTAACTAAAGTCACCTCTACTTTAGTTAATTCCAGGTATATCGAGTAACTGGAGAGCTTGCAGAACTCACAACAAATGAAGAAGATACGAAAGAGAATAACCACCTTTTTAAAATTTATTTTTTCAAAAACTATGTATTTTACAAAAGTCTCACGACATACTGGAACCAGTTTGTTGGCGAGCACTTATGTGATA